TGCAAAACATGTTCCAGTCGGCAGGCTCTCTCAAGTCCCTTTGCTAACAGATCTGTACAACCGACATGGCAAGGCACACTGGGCACCTAGCAGAGTGATCTTGTTAACAGATTAAGATCCCCAACCGAAGCGCAGTGACAGTGGTGACCTGCTGGGAGTCAGAGAAGCATACATAGAACCACATCTGATTAATATTAGACTACTTTTTTCCCCACACCTCCAGGGGAAAATCCCAAGGTGGAGTTGATCCTCTGGCCAGCAGGGGCAAGGCGCACTGTGCCTCTCTCTCCACGGATGTTGTTTTTGCTAGCTCAGGGTAGCAGCTTGGTGCCTTGGCAGCCAGCGAGGCACCCTGGGATGGGAAATCAGGCAGCCGCCCAGATATTAGAAACAATTACCGCTAATTACCAGGCCTGCCAATTCCCCATTGTCTGCTTGCACTCCACCAGGAATCAAGGAGCAGGCGATGAGGATGCCGGAGGAAACTTTCAATTTTGGTTTGCAGAATGCCTGGTGCCATTTGGGGGCTGGGCTCCTTCCTGCCTTGAAACTCACAAGGCCCCACTACCTCTCCATCTCTCTCGGTTCTAGAGCCCACATTCTCCTTACAGCATAGATCTTGGATTCCCCAGGGTGCTGGGAAGGTAGGATGGGGGAAGCCAGGACCACAGAACAAAACCCACATCTCAACTGTGGCTGTAGTGTCAGTTTCAGTGAACGTAACTCAGGGTCTCTGGTTTTATGAAAGTGGTAAGTGCACACTTTAGTCTCCAAACATTTGGTGAGTGTTTATTTTTTACTTTCTCTATAAGGACAATAAGTACTGCTGCCAAATGAAAATAGTAGCCACAGGGATTTTCCTGTGTGTCTCCAATGCCAGGCAGCCTTTCTTTCTGAGGCTGACTTAGGTGGACTAGGAGACCACCCCAGAAAGCAACACTGGGATCAAGAAGAAATCTGGTAGAAAGGGAGGTGCTCATATAGGGCAGAGGTCATACCTATGACCCCCCCCCTTCCCAACAGGCAGCCAAAGCTGGAGGAGGCTGTGGAAGATGTGAGATCAAGTTATCCATCCATCAGTCCACCTGCAGGCTGTTCGCAGTTATCATCAGCTGGATGTCGTTTCTGGGGTGAGGTGGGAGGGACTAACCCTTAAGGGCTTCCTCTCTGCCCTGCATATAAGCAGAAAGCATTGTCAGAGCCCGAAGAGAGGCCCTCAGACTGTGTGGCCTGGGTGAGAGTACAGAGTTGCATGCTGGGAGAACAGGGTGAGGCAGACACTACCTGCCTGGCTTGAGTAGCTACTACTCCCTCCAGCTGATCTATATGGGTCCACAAATCGTATGAACCAAGAGATTTTAAGGTAGCCAAATAAATTAATATGGGTAGCGAATGCCCTTAGGCCTTTGGTGGCCCACAGTAAGGATTGATCATTTCCTGTTACAGACCTCAAAGTCAAGGCCCTGTTCTTCTGGTTTGTTGATGCTTACTCTCAGGTGGTTCAGGATTGTCCAGAAGGTTATATCTATGTCCTAGACATAGAGTTCATTTAGAGAGAATCCATGTTAACTTCAAAACAGGCCCGAGGCAACAGCCGGAGTATGTCTGCCCTTGCTTGGTATCCATGAGTTGCTTCTATGGACTGAACCAACTTCGACTCAAAAATATTTGAAAAAAAAATTCTCCAGAACGTTTCCAAAGCAAAATATGAATTTGCCACACACCTATCACTAGAACGAAGACACACCAATGGAACAGGGCACACGTGCACCCTGCCGCAGCATCTGCCACTTCTCGGGCCCTCCATTCCTGTGGTCCTACTGTGCGAGCATCGTCCACCTTGTTCACGCTGTCTGTTAGATCTGTAGTGGTCACATGGGTACTGCACATGTATGAAGTTTCCATGTCATTTTTCCTAAACAACACAGCATGACAACTGTTTACGTTATCACGTGCGGTGGCATTGTGGGAAGTGTCATATGTCATCTGCCCATGATTTAAAGTACATGAGGGGGTTGGAGAGATGGCTCAGCAGTTAAGAGCACTGCCTGCTCTTCCAGAGGACCTTGGGCTCAGTTCCAAGCTGGCCTACAGGGCAGCTCGCCACTGTCTGTAGTTGCAACTCCGGGGGTTCCAGCACCTTCACACAGACACGCAGGCACGCAAAACCACCAATGTACATGAAACAAAATAAGATTAAATTTTTAAAAATCTTTAAAGAAATAAAGTGCATGAGAGGAAATGCATAGGTCTATGCAAACACTATCAATGCATCCATCTTATAGGAAGGACCTGAGCATCCGTGTGGATTTTGGGGTCTCTAGGGATCCTGGGACTGGAATCAATCTGTCATGGGTACCAAGGGACAATTGGTTTAATAGGACGGAGAAAGCGCAGACATTGAACACAATTGTTTAGTTTGCAGCAAGCATCCCACATGTTCATCTCTTCCTTTCCATAGCATCTGTCACCTTCTTTCCTGGTATATAATTGATACTATTTTTAGATATGTTTATTTCCTTATGTGTATTCATGTTTCGTCTGGACAAACGTATGTGTACCGTGTATATGTCTGGTGCCCACAGACGTCAGAAGAGGGCATCAGATCCCCAGGAACTAGAGTTACAGACAGTTGTGAGCCACAGTGTGGTTGCTGGGAATAGAACCTGAGTCCTTGCAGGAGCTACCAGCCCTCTTAACCACTGAGCTATCATCTCTCCAGCCCACTGATAGTATTTCTTGTTCCGTACCTCTGAGGACAGAAATCACTGTCTGCCTTGTTCCCTGGTGGGGTCTATGTGCAGAACGGTGCCAGGGATGTGCTAAGAGCATATGGCGGATGAATGAATCACGTAGACACCGGCTGAAGTGCCTGTCTCTTTGCAGGGTTATCGGTGCTGGTAGTGTTGGTGGTGTCGGCTGGGACCGTGGAGGAAGGATGTGCGGTCCTTAGGCACCATCCATCATTGCAGTGGCTTCCGGCATGTGACCGCTGTCACCTGCCCCCTTGTCATCATTTGGTCTCAGCCACGTTCCTTCCCCAGCCCATCAGCCTCCAGGGAGCTTTTTCTCCAGTATACACGCAACTTTTGTATCTGGGATGTGGAGGAACACTGGGGCCTCAGAGACTCTCTCAGGGTTACTTGAGAAGACACACAGGCTGCCATTTCTATAGGACATGGTGCCCTTTCTTGGCTCCACCTTCTCAGAATGGTGGTGCAAGCCTGCTGCTTTCAGATCCCCACAGGCTGTCTGCGGTTTTCTGTGGTCCTTCAGCATCACCAGCTCACCTGGGGACCATAGGTCTCAGCTCACTCCGTCCTTGCCAGACTCCCTCTGCTGTCTAGGCTGGGGCCTTTGTATGGCTTTTTGTTTGTTTTCTGGGTGGGACTATCCCATTTTTGTTCCTGACTTTCTACGTCCGTTTCTTAGATTTGCAATTTAAAAGTCATGAAGCTGAGCCTCAGCCTGTGCACTCTCCTGGGCTACCCCTCTCCTAAAGCACACCTCTGACACCCTGCTGCTGCTGCATGGGGAACCCAAAGGGCAGAAGGAAATCATGGGAAGGGATGTGGAGTCCTGTGTCTGCTGTGGCTCTGCCCATTACTACACAGGAAGGGGACAAGTGAGCTGAGCAGCTTACCTGTCATGGTGGAGAGTAGACCTGAGCAGCCCTGACCTGGGAGCTAGCAGAGCCTGCAGGCTTTGTGAAGCCTAGGCTAGTCACTCCTTTTAACTACTGGAGTTGTTGGGTGACCTGGCTCAGCTCAGGCATCTGACCCTGGATCCATCAGCTCTGATCAAGAATTAGGGTTACCCTTTTTTGCTGGGAAAATGTGTTTCTCATCCGAATAATGGTGGGAAAGATTGATGTGTGTGTGTGTGTGTTTTTTGTTTGTTTGTTTGTGAAGATGTCGGCCTCCTATGGTGATGGTGAGGACAGGATGAGAAAATGGTCTGCAGATCCTTGTTCCTGTAGGTGGAGATCAGTCAGAGTCCCTCACTTCTCCCTCAGTACTGCCAGAGACACTGGAGAGGGGAGGGGAGGGGAGGGAAGCGAGCTAAAACTGGCTTAACCGAAGTAATAATAGTAACTGTTACTGACTTATGTATTCAGAAGGAAGTAACTGCATCAGGCAAAGCTTGATCTAGAAGCCCACACAATACCTCCAGTCTGATAATGGCTGCATCCCTGGGCTTCCATACCAAACACTCTAGTTACATGTCTGATGTAATAGGGGGCTTCACACTCCCACAGTTCCCAAAATCTTCCGAGTCAGATTTTCACTGACTGAACTGAGCCTGTCCTGGAGCCTGGCCCCGGCCAAGGAGAAAGGGAGCGCCCTAAGAGCTGGTCCTCCCTGCCACAATCGCATGCCTTCCATGGAGAAATGCGGTCTCTGAAGGAAACTGGGGGCTCTATTACCAAAGAAGGAAAAGTGGGTATCAGGAAGCCAAACAGCAGCAGCGGTACTTATCTGGCCCAAGGCTGATGTGCAGGGCGGTGATCGTCTGGCCTTGTCTTGAGTGAGCCTCTCATTGAGCTGCTGATTCTGGTCTAGCAGCTGCAGAGACATCACATGTGATGTAATCCTAACCAGCTCCAGATGTAACTGATGCTGCTGATCTCTGGGCCACTCTGGGAATATCAAGGCATTAAGCCTTTTATGCCAGCACCTGTCAAAACCACCTCCCATGATCCCTCCAGCCACCCTGGCCAGTTAAATCAGCATTTGTAGTACAGGTCACTGGTGGGTATGGAGGAAGATCACCATGGTGGCTGGGCAGTGGTGGCATATACCGTTAATCCCAGGACTCTGGAGACAGATGCAGGCAGATCTCTGAGTCTGAGGCTAGCCTGGTCTACAGAATGAGTTCCAGGTTTGCCAGGGCTACATAGAGAGATCCTGCCTCAAAACAAAACAAAATGATCACCGTGAGATGAAGAATATATTGGATCTGCACATCAATCCTAACGCACATCTTTTTTCCTCTGGCAGTCTTAACTATGGAGGTGTTTGCCTGGCTTCAGATGCCCAGTTCAGTGACTTCCTCGGGAGCATGGGGCCAGCACAGTTTGTGGGCCGCCAGACCCTGGCTACCACACCCATGGGTGAGTGTTCGAAGCCCTGTGCCCCTCCTTCCTTGCCCTTGCCTGATGGCTTCATGCTCTGAGCACCTGGTTTGGAGCCTGGGCCACATAGTCCTGCCCTCCACGGTGCCTGACTCTGAAGTGTCCACGCTGTCGTGATGGGACTTAGTCTGCTGTTTGGGTTGGGAGTGGGTGTAGGCAGCAAGACCCTGCTGGAGCTTCTGGGCCACTTTCTAGTGTCATCTCTTGCAGGGGATGTGGAGATTGGCTTGCAAGAGCGGAATGGCCAGCTGGAGGTGGACATCATCCAGGCTCGGGGACTGACTGCCAAGCCAGGCTCCAAGACACTGCCAGGTGTGAGGACGTCTGAGAGAGATATGGTGTGGTCCACGGGACCGAACTTCTGGGAGGGAGAGACATCTTTTTTGTTTATCATTATTCCCTCCTACCGAGTATATACTAACATACCTAGTATACTTGGCACCCAGAAAGGCTCAGAAAGCGTTTATGAAGAGGTTGGTAAATGAATATGTGAGGTTAGCATGGTGGGCAGTTGTGGACTGAGGAAAGGGGAAGCAATGAAGACCTAGAAGGAAAGCAGGGCCTCCCAGACATGACCTCACCCATTTGTCCTGTGGCCCTTCCCATACTCCTGGGGGTTCTCCGGTTCCCAGAAGTGGGTGGTGACCCTCTATTACCCATGATTTAAGGGAGCAGCCTAGAACCCTGCCTTCTGCCCTCTGTCCCCAGCTGCCTATATCAAGGCCTATCTGCTGGAGAATGGTGTCTGCATTGCCAAGAAGAAGACCAAAGTGGCCCGCAAGTCACTGGACCCACTGTATAACCAGGTGCTGCTGTTTCCTGAGAGTCCCCAGGGCAAAGTCCTGCAGGTAAGGGGGTGGGGTGTGTGTGTGTGGTGTTAACTGGGGGCAGGGTCTCTCAAGGGCCTTACCCAGGGGAATTGAAACACAACTTCCTGTGTCACTTGTACCCACAACTTCCTGTGTCACTATGAATTTGGTCCCTTATGAATCTTGACTGTTTCATCTCTGGAATACACGGGAGAAGGAATGAACTAACTCCCAAAAGTTGTCCTCTGACCTCCTTATGGATGACATTTCATGAACATTGCATACATGCATGCACACATTTGTGCACATGCACATAAAAGCTAATATCAAAGATGTATGTATTTGATGTATATGTATATATAGGCTGGAGAGTTGTCTCCGTAGTTGAGAGTGATTACTGGCCCCTGTAGGCAGCAGTACACACACGTGTGCACACGCACACACCCATGCATCTGCACACATACCACACATAAAATTAAAACCAATTTTCTAAAAAGATTAAAAAACAAAACCCAAGAAGACAGTAAGTCTCAGTTCTGTCTGACTAAGGACTATCCTTTAAGCCTGTTCTCAACCTTCCTAATGCTGCAACCCTCAAATACAGTTCCTCGTGTTGTGGTGACCCCAATGATAACATTATTTCGTTGCTACTTCATAACTGTAATTTTGCTACTGTTATGAATCATAATGTAAATAGCTGATATGCAGGAAATCTGATATGTGACCCTTGTGAAAAGGTCATTCTACTCGCAAGGGAGTCATGACCCAGAGGTTGAGAACCACCGCTCTAGGGTTTGTTGAGCTGGACTGTGCTAACTCACCGTTGTTGAGGGACAGGCAGATGAGGGACTGCAGCCACAGACCCAGATCCACAGGCCAGCTCCAAGAGGTGCTGACCAAGAGACCAGGAAGGTGCTACAGAGAAAGACTGGACCAAGAAAGAAAGCTAGCAGTGTCTGTGGTGTCCACACTGTGAGCATGCTTTATGAGGGGGTCTGAGGCTCCCTGTGGGGAAAGCAGGGGATGGTATCGTGTTGCAGATGCAGGGCCATCCTTCAAGGCCTGACTTAGCTCGAATTAGGGTCATGTGGAAGATGGAGCAGATAGTGTGAGCAAGAGGAAGGAAGCCAAGGTATAGATGGAGTAATAGGGACACTAGAGCCAGAAAAACGTGGTCAGATGAGTGGCTTTTATTATTTTTATTTCTTTGGACCTGGGGGTGCACTTGGCACATGCATGTGGAGGTCAAATGATAACTTGCGGAAGTCCGTTCTCCCCTCCTGCTCTGTGGGCTATGTGGACTCTGGCAGCGTTGGACTTAGGTCATCAAGTTTGGCCGCAGCATCTTTACCTGCTGAGCTTTCTTGCTGGGCTTCCTTGCATGCCTTTTAAAGAGGTAGACTACAGGGCTTAGCTGCATTGGCCTGAGGGACCCCAGGTTCTGACTCAGAGCCTATGAATGACTGTGACAGGCATTATTTTTTAATGTTATTGTATGGGTGTTTTGCCTGCATATGTGTCTGTATACCGCTTGTGGGCCTGGTGCCTGTGTGGTGCTGGGAATCAAATCTAGGGCCTTGTGCATGCTGGGCAAGTGCTCAGCCAGCTGAGCAAACTGCCGAGCTCTCAATTGCAAGAGGGAATCAGCTGTGGGTTTTTTTTTTTCCTACAGGTGATTGTGTGGGGCAACTACGGGCGGATGGAGCGGAAGCAGTTCATGGGCGTGGCTCGAGTGCTGCTGGAGGAGCTGGACTTGACCACCCTGGCCGTGGGCTGGTACAAGCTCTTCCCCACCTCCTCCATGGTGGACCCAGCCACAGGTCCTCTGCTCCGGCAGGCATCTCAGCTGTCCCTTGAGAGCACCGTGGGGCCCTGTGGCGAGCGATCTTAATGCCAGGGTTGGGGAGGGGCTCCCCGAGATGGCCTGGAGACCACCCAGCCCTGACCTGGGACCCCAGGCCCAGGGGCACATTGGACATTGGAGGATGGGGTTCTTCCCCACGGTGGGGAAGCAGAATGGGGAGACCTGCCCCCCTTGGGCCCCTCCTCGCTCCTTCACCTCCTACCCCTGAGACCTTCCCTCTCCCAGTGGGTTGGCTACACTTTTGACTTGGCCGGTTTTGACCTGGTGGATGCGGCTATAGTCAGAGAAAGACTGAGGCGGTGGAGCAAGCGACTCTCCTGCCCCACCCCACCCCACCTGTCACTCCCTTTGCCTCCCTGGAAGCTCGCTGCCCAGAGCCAGGTCCAGATCCAAGCCGGCCCTCTCCATGGTGCCAATTACCAGCAAGTGTCTTTCCTGCGGCACCGGGTTCAGGCAGCTACTCTTGCCCCAGCGCTGACGGGGCAGTTTGCAAGGATCCGGAGCCAGCTCCCGGGGGCCCAGAGCTCCCCACTTGAAGGGGAGTGTGGGTCTCCCTCTGCCTGCCCGTGGAAGGAGCTTTGCCGCAGCCTGTCTGAGTCCATCCATCCATCCCCTCCTGCCTGCCCCTCTGCTGTAAGCTCTAGGAATTGGGGGCCAGCAGAGATTAAAGGAAAGGAGGAGGTGCCCCAGGCCTGGCACGGATCCCCAGGGGTCCTTGCTCCATGGGATTGCAACAAGCTGGTCTGGAGCTCTTGGTGGACTGGAAGGAACATTGTCATCTGTGATACGGTGGAGGACTGTGGGGACCCGAGTTTCCGGAACCTTGCCCACAGGGTTCTTTTGTGTGTAGGGGTAGTGGGAGCCGAGCTTTGAAGAAAGCTGGGATTAAGCCTAGTGGTACCAAGGTAAGGGTTTCCCATACAGGAGAACCCCTCCTTGTTGGATGAGATCAAAGGCCATCTTGTTACCCCTCTGCCTCTGGTCTAGGGTCTTGGGGAGGTGTAAGAGCCCCTCCCATTTTAGCCTTTTAAAATAAACCATCCTGTACGAAGGGCAGAAGCCACTGCCCCAGCCTCGTCACCATGGCTCAAGGAGGTACAAGAAGAGAGATGCAGAGCTATGAGTGTAAGAATTAGAGGCTCCGATGAGGCCTGGGTAGCTGCCTTTCCTGTAGCCCTCCCTAGGGCCTGCAGGAGCCCTTTTGCATGCGAGGGAGGACACAATCTGGCCCCTATAGAAGCACATTTCTATCACTGTCCCGGGAGCCGCCCAGCAGCCTGCCATCTCCTCTTCACCTAGTCCCTGCTGTGTAGGGTGTAGTCCAGGTTAGCTGGGTAGTTAGTGTTCACGCCTGAGCCCTATTCTTAGCTCAGATGTCGTCTTTTCTTCAAGCCCCAGGCTGGGGTTAAAGGGGGGCCCCAGTACATTCCAGAAGATTGCGACCTCCTTCTCTAGCCTGGGCTGGAGGGGTTGCCTGGCTCCCCAAAGGCCAGCCCTTCCACCTTCTCCTCCCTGTCTTCCTCTCTCTTCCCTTATAGGGTAGTAGCCCTGATTGTTCATTGTATTCAGCATTCTGGGGAAATACCCTCAGCATTGCTCTTTGGATTCACTCCTGAGGATCGCTGGGCCTTGTAGAGGGGCCTGGACTCCACGAGAGGGTGTCATTTTCTACTGAGGATGCCAGGGCTCTGTTGAACCCCCTGTTGTTCCTGGTTCTCATACCAGGGAACTCCTTCTACTTGGAAATTCTCCCCATTCCCAAGCTGGCTTAGCTCTGAGTGCCCTTTAGGGTTCTGGTCCAGTTCTGTCACCTCCACGTGGAGCTGTAGACACTGCACAAGGAAGGTGCACAGGCCCCTCTTCTCCAATTGGTCTTCAGAGTGTCCTTGAGTCTGTGGAGGGAGGGGCAGGCCCTCAGCACAAGGGAGAAGGGCTCTGGGGGGGCTCACACCTGAGGCCCACAGTTAGCCATCACCCCACCTTTATTTTTTTAACCAGTGTGATATCTCTGCAGTTAGGTTATTACTCACTGTCTGGAATATTTTGAGCCAGGAGAGCGGCTTCTCTACCCAGACCCAGCCGTCTTTGCTGTGGGACAGAACCTGGCTGTCACAACCAGAGGAGGGGCTCAGCTCTTATTTGTCAGAGAGAGAGAGAGAGAGAGAGAGAGAGAGAGAGAGAGAGAGAGAGAGAGAACACGCAGGAGCACTGGCTCCAAAGCAATAACACCACCCTGGGGTGGTCAGTGAGGCCCCTCAGTGATTTTCTTGTTTGTTCTGTGAAATCTCACTCACCTCCTGGAGGGGTGTAGTGGGGGCTGGAGCCCCATTTCTTTGTATCATTGTAAGCGTGTGCCCCACTTTCAAGGGGCTGTGACCACTGGGTGTGGGAACCATATCTGTCCTCGCCAAGGACTTGTGGAAGGAGAGTGGTTTTCATCGTTAGCTTTGGGGATTATCGAGCTCAGCTTGTCCCTACTGCTGTCTGATCCTCTGTCAACTCAAACTCTTGCCCTCTGGAGAGGAGTAAGAGGGTGGAGTTGGGGGCCTTTCTGGTGCTGGGTCTCTAGGGGTGTTTCCTTTTTCCTCTGGACAGAGGCAGTATTTAGGACTGCCATGGAAAGGGCCGTCTCCATTTTCATTTCCCAGAATGCCTCTGCATTCGGAAAGGCAGGGCCTGTGAATCTTTAGTCCATTTGCATTTTGCAGGGAAAAAAAAGGATACCAAAGCCCTGCTGGAGGAGAGCCATCCTGGGGTCATTAGTATTCCCAGTGACACTTCTACCTAGATCTCCTCTTCACGTCTCCTGCAGAGCTGGAGCCAGGGCAGGATGAAGTGGGGGGGTCTCATCCTTTCTATCCCTTTTCTTTGGAGCCTCCTAGTGGCTCCAGATTATGGCGCGACTAGCTGTAGCCAATCTGAGAGGTCAGGAAACCCAGGCCCCAGCAGGAAGTCATTTGGCTAAGGCCCCTTAGCGTTATGCCTGGGAGGACAGAGCTGGGAGCCACAGCCAGGAGACCAGCGCTCAGGGGCAGGTGTGCGCCATTCCCATTGCCAGCTTCTAAGCACAGGTGGTACTGCCCTGCTTGATTCTCTCCTCTGGGCTAGTGCCTTTTCTGGGCTTGAATTGGGAGAAGAGGAGGTGCCAGGGTGGCCTTTTGCTCTGGGTCATAACCTCTCCAGGTCCAGCTGAGAGGTGGAAAACACAAGCTCCCTCCTGGGTTTGTACAGTGGGGGCTCCAGGAAGTCCCCTCTCACCTCCAGAAGGGATAACACCACCTCCCCTAGCACTTCCCAGTGTGTCCCCCCAGTGATTTTACTCTGACCCTCAAAGAGCAAGTGAAAGGTGGCTCATGTTGTCAGCAGGGAGAGGCGGAGGTCCTGAGAAGCACTTGCCACCGAAGCGCCGGCTTTGACAGTGGTTGAGCGCCAGCTCCTTCTCCGGCGGCCCACAGCACAGGCGTGCAAGCACACAGCTGAAGTAGTTAACTTTTTACAAGCAGTTCACCAGTGGGCTCCTTAAGGCAGGAGACTCTGGAGCAGTTTGAGGTTCAGAAGCAGCACGGCGCCCCCACGCTCTCCCAAAGCAGAGCTGTTGCACCAGGCAAGGTCACCTGCATTTATTTATTGAGCAACAGTGCTACACCAGACCCAGAGCCTTGGACCCCCTTTCTGTCCTTTGCAATGGCTCTCTTGGCCCCCCAAGAGGGCCTGTGTCTGTGGAATGGGACCTTGGTGGAGGAAGAGTTCCCACAAGCTTACCTGGCCAGCCCGAGGGGTCTTCATCTCAGTAAGAGCCTGTGTGGCTGGGTGGAGGCTGGAAGCAGACATAGGTGTTACCTCCGAGCTCTTTGTATCCTCCTTCAGGGTGGCAGGAAGGTGGGACCCCAGAGTCCTTGGACTGGGAGCCTCCATCCATCTACCCACCTTTCCCTGTGTCCTCTTGGGGAGCAGGAATAGCCTGGTCCTTCAAGGAGGGAGGGTTTTGGGGGTCTCTGAGTTGGAGTGGGTCACATTGCATTGTGTTCATGACCACATAGCTCATGCTGGAAATGAAAGTTTTTGGCTTTTCTACACTGGTTTTGCTCTTTTTTTTCGCATCAAGACGATTCTGTCTGGGAAGATAAGGGACACGTGTTGGAAGGGGTGAGCACTCTAAGGTGTCAAGGTGCCTCGCCATGGGCTGATTAGCATCCTCTGTGAGCAGAAACTCAACTCATGAAGATCTCCCCCAGGTGCCCTGTGAAACAGGATCTGCAATTTGGGCTCTGTTTTACTGATGGAGAAGCTGGGGTTCAGGAAAGCGATGTGAATCCCAATGACATGTTGCTGGTGATTGGTGGGACCCCGAATGAAATGCATCCCACACCACTGAGCTGCCTACAGGTAGTGAAAGGGGGAGACCATCCCCTTCATCCAGAAGGGGCTATGCAGGGACAGGGCTTCTGCTTGACAGTGGGGCAACCATTTACAGTTGGGATAACTCCACCCTTCATGCACAGCAAAGGGAATGCCATCTACTTGGTGCAGAAATTGCCCACTGTGAGCCATAAACTGCCTTCAGTCTGTCTCTGTCTCATACTTCTAGCATGAGCACCCAGTCCCACTAGTCAAATTCTAGTGCTTAAAATCGTGTCTTTCCTCTTCAGGGTAGAAGCTAGCTGCTTGTCATCCTTTGAAGGGGCGACCTGGTGTCACCCCTCCTAGGGGCTGAAGGCCACATTTTCCTACAAGTTTATACCAAACAGTTTACACCTCCAGGGTGACTTTAGAGTCGGCTTCTGCTTTTAGTGCAACATTCATGTATTTCTAGAAGGGATGATTCGCAGATGGTAGCGGGAGCCTCAACCCCCTCCAAGCCGGAGGAAGGGTGGGTTTGCTAACAGGCGCGGCTAGACATTGATTGGTCAGCCCCCGCTCGGGTAGGGTAGGACTTTCAGATGGACTTCCTCCTAGCTTGGCGTCTGTCTGTACTATTGTGGCAGTGGTACAGGGCTTCTGGACTCAAGGGAGGCGAGAAGGCCGGATTGTCGCATGCCCAAGTATCCAGCTGGTGGATGCCCTGAGAGATACAGGTGGAGGCCGCAGTGCGGGCGCGTCTCTTGAGCGCCCCCCTGCGGAATGCGCTGGCGCAGCGGGCTGAGCGCTCAGGAGTGTCGGCGCTGGCAAGAAAGCGCAGGACTACCAGGTTGAGGAAGGCACCGATGACTGTGAGCCCCAGAAGGATGTAGAGGAAGCTGAAGGCCACGTAGGGCGGCTTCCTCTGTAGCGCCTCGTCTCTCTGTAGCGCCACGAAGTCGCCAAAGCCGATGGTGGTGAGAGTGATGAAGCAGTAGTAGTAGGCGTGGAAGAAGGTCCAGCCCTCGAAGTGCGCAAAGGCAGCGGCGCCGAGGGCCAGGGTGGCAGCGCACAGCAGCAGCCCGGCTACCACCATGTTCTCTGCGGAAACGTGCGGCTGCTGCAGACCCAGGCAGCGCTTGGCTTCCAGCAGCAGGAACCTCACCAGCGCATTCAGACGCTCGCCCAGGCTCTGGAAGGTGACCAGCGTCAGGGGGATGCCCAGGAGTGCATAGAACATGCAGAAGACCTTACCGGAGTCCGTGCCTGGCGCAGCATGGCCATACCCTGTGTGGGGAGAGGGATGGGGTACTGAGAGCACAGCCTGCCTCAAGGCACCCCCACCCCAGGCCAGCCTGCCCCCAGCAGCTCCAAGCCCCACTTAGGTCGTCCCCACACTCTGAACCCCTGTGTGGCTGTTCACATCTCAGTGTCTCAATTCCTGCTGCTCCCCCCTCCAAAGATGGATAATCTACCTGTGGTCCTTCAGAACCACAGAATTCGGTTGGGGCATCTTCTGTCCCCAGCGGTAGAGAAGGATCTGAAATGTATATTGCCCGGTGCAGTGGAGGAAGCTCAGCCCCAAAGCATGGATCCAGTTGATAGGATGCTCTGGAAATAGCAGTTGGAGGACAGACCAGCGCTGTGGCTGGCTGCCCTGGGGGTTGGAGGACTACACAAGGGGCTTTGGGAGGGGTTCTGTGACTTGGTCTACACGTATTTGATAGGTGCTCTGACAACCTGAGGTGTACGGGAAAATGGATTTTTAGCAAATTATGCCTTGGTCTAAAGGGAAGGGAGACAGGTCTTCTGTGGTTTTCTAGTACCTCCAGGGTGAAGTCCCAGTTCTCATAAGGAGCCCCCAGTTCCCTCCACACACTTCCATCCTTACCCCTCCACTCGCTCATCCTCATCCACTCCTTCCTCCCCAGTCTCATCCCTCTTTGCTCATCTCCCCACTCCCCAGCCTCACCCCTTCTTTCAAATCTCCAGCCTCACCTCTCCTCCCCACTCCCCAGCCTCATCCCACCTCTCTACTCCCCAGCCTCACCCCTCCTCCCCACTCCCCAACCTCACCTCTCTTCCCCACTCTCCAGCCTCACCCCTTCTTTCAAATCCCCAGTCTTTATGCTCACCCCCTTGACACCCACACTCTCCAGACACACACTGCTGTTTCCCTCGAGAACGTTGCTTCTCCACCTCTTTCAGATTTCCTTCCTCCTTGGACTGCCTTCTGTTCCCTTCCCAGCACCCCATCCCTTCAAATTCCTCATCTTCTTCTGCCGTCCTGTAGGCCTTCACTAAACACCAACTGGTTCTGGGAGTCTTTTGTTTAAGTGTTGTTCACTGGTTCCCTCATGGATCTAAACATGTGTGGGCTGCTATGAGCCACGGGTCACTGTGCCATTGTTGTGGAGTGTGTGGATATGTCTCCTTCTGGGGAGAACAACAATAACGTACATGGGCCCATAGCCAGGGAGAAGCGAGGGGGTACGTCTCCCAAAGCAGACTGACCTCTAGCAGACTGACCTCTCTGCCCAAAGGTAAAGCATACAGACCCCTAGATCTGTGCAGCTCCACATGGTTAGACCTCCAGTGCACACAGATGTGCAAAATGGTATGCACACATGGGCTGTCTTTGTGGTCATAGCAAAAGTCAGAACCCATCCATCAGTAGAGGCCTGGCTAGCTTTGTCTCAGCATTATCCGAATGGTAGAACAGTTCACCAGACCACAGTGACCACATCACCATGCAGACATCTGGCAGCACCTAAGGAAGCTCTTTGTTTTCTCTACTAGGGGACGAGAATGGAATTAGCTGTGTGGTGTTGGCATCCAGAGGCAGCAGCAAGGATGCTACCAACATCTTACAGGGCCCAGGGCAGCCCCCCCAAACAGAATTAACCTGAGCAAGATGTCAGTACTTCTAAGGCTGAGAAGACCTACTATTCAGCCTGGAAAAAAAGTGTCGTGGCCCTTTAGGGTTGATATAAAAAAGCATTAAGATGCCCTGAATTAGGGTCTGGGATATGGCTCAGTTGATAGACTGCTTGAGTAGCATGTCTGATGTCCCATGTTCAATTCCCACTACCTCATACAAGGCAAGCATGGTGGCACACACCTGTAAATCTCCAGCACTTGGGAGGCAGAGGCATGAAGACCAAAAGTTCTGTCATTCACAGATACATAGTGATTTTGAAGCCAGTCTGGGCACAATGAGGCCCTGTCTCAAAAAAAAAAAAAGGGGGTGTACGAAATGAAAAGAGTGGGAATAGGCAAGAGAATGTATATAATATATTAGCCAGACAGCATGTGGTACTTGAAGGAAAATATACACAGAGCATATGCAGATCTATACAGAGCATGTAGCTGGACATGTGTGAGAGACAGGTCAGATGTATGGGACCCAGGGAGATGGATAAACGGGTTAAAAGATAGGATAGAGTCTCAGAAAGCCAAAAATAGCATGTTTCATCTTTCACATGGAATCTAGAGTTTTTTTTTTTTTTAAAAAAAAAAAAAGACATGAAAGCTAGAAGAGAGACCACTTAGAAAGAGGACCAGAGGAGGACAAGAGAAAGTAGCTGGTAGATATGATCAGCATGCCTGGCACACATGTATGATAACGCCACGGTGAAACCCATTGTTCTGCAAAATTAATATACACTAAGAAAAAAGACCAAATGGCTTCCAGGGAAGGGAGGGCAGGAACAAGTTTCCTTTTCATCCTGTACCCCTTGGTACCCTGTGAAATGTGCAGTGTGAACATGTGTAATATTCTAAGTCTCAATGTAGCATAGCATTTAAAGCCTCTATGGTTGATCACCCTTCCACTGCGTGGTCCCGTGGTACCCAGGGGAGGCATACACTCTGCCCATCACTACTGTGAATCCTCGAGGGCAGGGACCATGGTAACCACATCTGTGCACTCTGAGTCACCTGGGCTCTGTATAGACAAGCAGACAATAGGTTCAAAGAAAGTTAACTGACTCCAAGCAAATGGGAGGAGAGGGAAGCCAGAGGGGGACAGGGCCCTCCCAGGACCAGCAGGCCAGGAAGCACTGCTCTCATCTCCTTGAGCTCTGCCAGGTTTGAGCAGGGAAATGAGTAATAACAACAACACATACCAGGTAACTCTTCGTTCTCTCATTAGGCCCAAGTTCACCCTGTTTTATGATAAAGGAAGCAGGCTTGCGAGGGAGGGAGCTGTGCAAAGGTCCCAGCGCCTGAGCTCTTAGCCCCAGGTCTTCTGTGCCTCTGCTAAAGCAGAACCAGAGTTTCTGGACTCCAAGAGCCTGGCTTCCTGCAAGCTCCCTCTCCTCCCCTCCCCCCTTTAAAAAAACAGGTAGTGCTGCCCCCAAGTGGTCAGAAAGTCAAAACATTTCCCATTTCTACACCATTGTTTTGGTGGTGGTGATCCCCCGGCCCCCAATCCCTGGTTTCTTTCCCAACCTTGGTTTCAGATTAGCATTAGCATTGGAAGAGGCCAAATCTGGCTGGTAGACCTTCGGCGAAAACGGGAAGGGGCAGAGGCTTCAGAAGAGACACAACCTCTGTAGGCACGGTCTTGAGAATGGGGCTTGTAGACAAGAGATGGCAGAAGCATTGCTGGGAGCTGGGTTTACAGCTGGCAATTGATAACTTATTCCTAACGAATAGTGCCCGCATAGCCTATGGCACCGTGCTGGGCGGCTCACACATCTCACCTCACTTTAAACGTGGTATTCACCCAGCGA